GATTCACTTCTCAAGTGTGGAACTTAATTACGGGAAGGATTTGAGGTAACTAGAAAAAAATCTCTCTAAGGCTTGGTTTTTTCATTGATGGAAGAGTGGATGGTGATGTGAATCTCATAGGGTTGTGATAATGAATAAGGTCATATGTGTAAAACTCCTTGCATAGAATTCTGGTTACAGTTCACTGAGTGACTACAAGGTGATCTGATTAGATCAGTGAGTTAGACAAAGGCATTAGGTGGCAGGTTGTTCTTTATGAAGTTTTGCTCCTTTTATCCAAAGTTTTCTTTTTTTGATAACATTTATGATTATTTTTGAATCAAAAAAAATTTTGTTAGTATAAAACTCCTTAAAGTGGGATGTGTCTCATTGGCTTTGTTATAGATCTGGCCATTAGTGGTTAATACATGTTTATTACATTTACTTGAAAGTTTCTGTGTCAAAGTGAACTTGGCTGGCTGTACCTAGTCCAACAAACTGTTCTGTCAGTTATTAGGTGACAGAAAACATGAGTACATTTTTAAAAAACAACATACAATCGATTCTCATTATTTGTGGTGTAGTTATGTTCTATGATTTCACTGCAAACACTGAATTAGCAAATACTGGACCGTTAGTTCTAGAGAAAATACAGGGTTAAGTTTCTACGAGCCTCTGTTCATAACATTTCCATCATCAGATCAGTGCATAACCTTGTTTCATGTATGTTTCTGTTAAAGGGTCTTATGTAATACACATCGTTGATTCCTTAACATTGGACTCATGGCCAACAGCTCTGATAGCCCTGCCCAGACAAAGCTTATCTATCCATTACATGTTTTCTCCACAAGTCCATCACAGCCTCTGTACTTACGAGCGCTGGACTTCACCCTTTGGGGGCTATTTTAAATAGTGAAATCACCAACAAAAAGCAAAAATGAAAAAAGCCTGTCACTAAACGGACTCTTTAAAGGACATTTGTTTACTCTCCGGAAGCTGACGTAGAAGGCAGAGTGTCGCCTTGACCTGTGACAGCTGGGCGTGTGCACCGCGGGTGACTCGGATCCTCAAATGACCGTGACAGCACTGCCAATGTTGATTAGGAAGTTACAAGTACAGTTTAGGGGGTAGGTGAATTTGCAGATACGGATCCTGCAAAAAGTGAGGGTCACCTGTATTCTGTTTTGTCCCTTTAAATGTGCCGGTATACAGTGCATTTTCTGTTTTCCAGGGACGAAGCTGCATTCCCCCATCCCCGGACCATCGCTGCAGCTGTCCGTGGGGGTGTCTGTCACTGGGGAGCCTCTGGTGTTTGTAACAGGACGGAGGCTGGAGCTCAGGCAGCCCCCACCCCGCTCCCCATGTGTGGTGGTGTGGCCCTGCTTCTCGGTGGGCATTTACTTTCCTCCCTGCCCTGTATGAGCTCACCCTGGCAGCAGTATCGGATTGTTTCTCTGGGATCCCATGATTTAGAAGCTCTTGCCCCCAGAAGCCTAAACAATTTGTTGTTGTTTCTTTTTTCCGTTGTTATTATTGGGGGAGGGGGATCGCGAAAGAGGACCTAGCCCCCGACGTGGGTGTGAGGGAGCTGGGGGGCCAAGGGCCGCTGCTCAGGAAGGAAAGGATGGGAGCAGCAATTCACCACCAGCCCAGCCTGTGGCGGGGCGGAGGGGGGGGGTGTGCGGGGGCGGGGATGTCGTGTTTGAAGGTTGAAGCCAGATGCCAGGGTTGGCTTGAGTTTTACACACTTAAACACAGTACAGCCCTCTTGCAGTTTTTTCTTCTTAGAGCTCTTTTCCGCTGGCAGTTTTGAGAGGTTGATACTTGGAGGCCTACTGCAGCACTTTGAGCTTTGACGCACAGACTGTAAGCTCGTGACTGTGGCTCCCATTGCCGAAGATGAGTAATAGCGAATAGTCGTTGAGGACATAATAATGCTGGGCGCTGTTCCAGTCACTTTCCCTGTATTATTAGCTCATTTAATCTGTCCTTTCCACCCCAAGAACCCTCCCAGGTAAGCACTGTTATTCTACCCACTTGGCAGATGAGGAAACTGAGGCAGAGAGTGGTCAAGGAGGATGTAAGCCCCCAGTTACGTAGCTAGTAGGCGGGGCGGGGCACCAGCTCAAACAGGCAGCCTGTGCCCTCAGCCCCACACAGAGCTACGGAATTACAGTGAAGTGTCTTTGGTTAACACCTCTGGTTTTTAGGATCCAGAAGTCAAGAGCCGCGCATAGGCATCATGCATGAGCTCCTGGAGGAGCCCTGCATCCCGTGCCTCGGGTGATGAGAGATCTGCCTGACAGGCCTCTGTCCTCGTGGAGCTGCAGTCTTGGGAAGAGTGGAAATGGGCAAGAAATACGCAGAAAACATCCGAGGTGCTCGGTGGATTCAGGTGCAGGAAAGAGTACTGGTCGGAGCAAGGAGGTGGGGCAGATGTTGGATAGTCAGAGATAAATAGGAAAGGTGTCTTTAAAGATAGCATTGAGATGGGTGTAGAAAAGTGGTCCTTGAAATTAGTCTACACCTTCTCGACCATCTGCAGCCAGCGTTAGTCGGGACCTTAGCCACAGCCATGGGATTAGAAACACATCTTCTCCTGGGCAGGAGGTTCTATCCCACCTGCAGGCCCTTATTCCTACCTGCTTTCCCCTCATGGGGACCCGGAAGTGTGAGCGAGGTCTACTGACCGGTGAAGGAGTGGGTTCCAGACGTTTCACTGCAAATGTGGGCAATGCAGTCAGCTTGGGCCTGTGCACAAACTCCTGGCCTTGACGCACAGGGGGTGCAGGGCCTCCCGTTGGCCCAGCCACTGGGATGGGTGGGCCTTGATGCTTTCACCTTCCCATAATTAAAAGGGGAAAGGTCAGCATGGAACATTTGGTAGGAAAAACAGTTTGGGATAGTCTTTGAATTTAGGCTTGCATTTACGTTCTTTGAGTCTCTCCTAGCTTTTTGGTTTTGTTGTTTAAAGCAACGTGATTCAAACCATTGAGTCTGCCTTGAATCTTTACAGCCCCTGAGAAAAGTTACAGTGCTTGCCTGACAGGCATTCATGGGCCCAGCCCCTGGAAGCATGGGTTGTGTGTGGGTCGGAGGTCCTGGGTTGGACCAGGGCACTGCCCCACCCGACATCCTGGGACCCCTTGGGAGCTCTCAGCTGGGACGTGATACCCTCTTTGTGAGAAGGGGGAATGTAAGTACCACTTCATCAGACTCTGCAAAGTAGTAGCCGACTTTGTTCTATAGTCAGGCTGTTTTCCTTCCCCATAAGCCCCATCTCTGCTGCCCACTTCCACCCTCCAAGAGAGAAAAAGCCCAATTCTTTGCTCTGCAGAAAAAAACGGAAGATGTTGTAATACAGTCGTAACAGATCCCATGGCTCTTTAAGGTCGTGAGTTTACAGGCAATTGGTGTTATCGTTCTGGTGTGATTTATCTTCAGCCTCTCTATTCCGCTGCAGGGGGAAAGAGAGTCTTAATAACCTGTTGTGCAAAAATTTGGCAGTGCCAAAGAAATAATCCTTTACTCTGTGTTTTTCTTCACTGACCTCTGCTGCTGACGTAAATGAGTAATGTATTCAAGTATCCATTCTTTAACATTGAAATGTTACTGTTCATTTGATTTTCTCTCCCCCTTTTGTCTTCATGTGAGAATAAAGCTAGTTAAAAATAACTGTGATAATTCTCTATATAGCAGTTCTCCAGCATCTGCCAAGAAATATACAGATCCTGTGATGGGTGGATCCACCCTACTTTGGGCTCTGGGGAAGAAGCGAGGTGCCAGCATTAATACAGGAAGGGTCCTTTGTATTGTGTTTCACTTACTTTCAGGGTAGCTTACTGACCTCTCAAGACTTTCCCTGCTTATGTATTCATTTTATCATTTAGTGTTAAGTTCTGTTATTCTTTTATGTATAAGTAGGAGACTCTGGTTCCATGCCGTGGCATAGGATGTATAGGATGCTTTCCTCTGCAAGAAATTGAAAGCCCAAATCAAACTGGCTTTAGCAGTAAAGGGAATTTATTGGCTTCTGTTGCTGAAAAATCCAAAGGCAGATGGCTTTTTGGCTAGGGTTGATCCAGCCATTTCACAGTGTTACCACAAACCTGGTTCCTTTTCTTCTACTGGCTCTGCCTCTGCAATGGTTGGCTTTAAACCAAGAGTGGACCTCCCCCTGGTCCCACGATGGCTGGAAGCAGTGACTGGGGTCATGTAGTTAAGTGTTCACATCCAGAAGAGAGAAGAGTCTCAGAAAAGGTCTTTGTCTCTGCATTCTCCAAAAGGTCTTACTTAGGTCATGTGCCTGTCACTGGAGCCAGGAAGATACAGTACACTGATTGGCTTAGCCTAGGTCACAAGATGCATATCTGTAGGTGGGGTGTGGAGTCAGCTTCCTCAGAAGTGCAGGATCCCTAGAAAGGAGAGAGGGAGGTGATGCTGGAGAAGCCACCAACAAATATCAAGTGTATATGGCTAATCAATCCCTGAGGTGTGAACAAAATACATAGCTTTTTTTTTTTATTCTGGATGTTTAAATTGATAAATATTCGTGCTAGAAATAGGTCACTGAAGGCAGGGCTCTATGTATTTTTCTCAGTTCGCTCATCTTGATCCCTTGTTTTCCCTGGACATACAGGAGAAAGACTTGTCAGAAGGAGGTCAGGTTGGGGAGCTCCTTCCTGCTATCCCAGAGTCTGAAATGGGAGGGAGGAAGGAAGCACAGAAATGGAGGCATCATTCCCCATTCAATAAAATATTCTTCAAGACAAGATTATCTGTATTGCTTGCAACATTATTCTTAAAGAAACAGGTTTAATGAAATGGAAACGTACTTAAGAAATAACCCTGCTTGATTTGTTTATTTCCCACACCACAGACTTTCCTACTCACCATTCCGTGGCCCCTCCTTGCTCGTACCATGCCACATCCTTGCCACATCCGTGCTCAAATCCTGGGTTTTGTAGGGAGCAATAAAGAAATGTGTAAATGACCTGTAACCTCTCATCCTCTGTCTGCAGTGGGCAGTTTGCAGTCGTGAAGAAATGCCGGGAGAAAAGCACTGGTCTACAGTATGCCGCCAAGTTTATCAAGAAAAGGAGGACGAAGTCCAGCCGGCGGGGCGTGAGCCGCGAGGACATCGAGCGGGAGGTCAGCATACTGAAGGAGATCCAGCACCCCAACGTCATCACCCTACATGAGGTTTATGAGAACAAGACAGATGTCATCCTGATCTTAGAACTGTGAGTGCGGTCTGCGTGGCTGTGGCGGGGCCGGGGAGGCACAGGGTCAGGGGATCAGGACCGTTGAGGTCCGCCCACGGCTGCCCTGCAGCGGGACGGGAATGAACTCTGCTTTGCCAAATCCGAGAACAACCGCGTGCTGCCTGCCCCGAGACCCATCTGAGGTTCTCTAGAATGATGCTGAAGAGCGGCTTCCACAAATGTAGTGCCACCCGATTTGCAAGAGGGTCCCCAAATCTTGGGGGTTCCTCTTCCATTGTCATGACGTCATCTGATTCCTGAGCTGTCTGATCAACTTTAAGCTTATGTTCTTTTTCTCCTCTCGCTGTTCCTCTACTTCCCTCGGTTTTTCTACTTTTCTTCCTTCTCCCTCCATCTTAGCCCCCCCACCTCCATTCTCAGCTGTTGGAACTGTCAACTCTAATTACACGAGAGGGTAAAATTGAACGAGCATCACTCAGAGGTGATTATAGGACTTGTTTTTAAAGCCGTTCACTTATTTTCTTGGGCAGGCCCTGCCTGTCGGATGTGGTTATGGGCAACGGACTGTAGTGTGTTGTTCTGTGATGTGTCTCTCTGTCCCCAGGCCCCTGTCTGAGCGTCCCACCCCTCGCAAAGAAGCCGGCTGGCGGGGAGGAGAGGAAGCTCCGCAGGAGCACCTGGCTGGGGATGCCTCTGGGCTGTGGGGATGGAGGGGAGGCATCAGGGCCTTGAGGGCAGGAACCACGGATGGAGCAGAAGAAGCCAGGGTGACACACTAGTCCTGGATGGTTCTTAAGCATTGTTAGGCCTTGCTGGTTTCCTGGGGCCTCCGGAATTCAGATCTGCTCTTCTGCCAGCCAAACAGCTCCCCATGTTTGCAGATCTCTTAGGGTTAGGAGGTGATTTTTGAGACCAGATGGGATGGAAGGAAGTGAAGGGGGCTTTATGGAGGGCCCAGCCTAGCCCCAGGGGCCCCACACTGCAGGCACTCTGGGCTTTGCCCTCACAGGGGCCTGAGGGTGCCCACAGCTTCTTGTCTGTCACTGGGATGTGGGTACTTTTTTTTATGGGTCTGAGCAGCAACTTGCTTAATTATAAATTGGGGTTATGATAGCTACCCCCACAGGGTCTTGAGGAAATAAGTGACTTGAGAATTGGACGATACCTAGCACAGTGTCTGATTCGTGGACATCTTTCCTTCCTCCCTTTAAACCAGAAGGTTCTCAGCCTCTGCCCTACAGACATTGGGGGCTGGATAATTCTTTGTTCAGGGACCATCCTGTGCTTGTGTGATATTTAGCAGCATCTCTGGCTTCTACCCATAGATGCTGGTGGCACCCTTCCCACGGGCTGTGACAACTAAAACTGTCTCCAGACAAGGCCACATGTCCTCTGGGGGCAGAACACCCCCTTCTCCCCATTGAGAACCCCTGCTTTCAGGAAGAGCTGGGCTTTAAGAGCACAGGGGATTAAGGGGCTTGCTGGGGTACAGCCAAGGAAAGAGACATGTCACAGTGTAATCCTTGCTTTATGTGGCGACTCGCGAACCAGACGGAACCGAGATCAAAATCCAGGCCAATCCTTTACTGTCCATAAGCCTGCATTTCCTATCTTAAGGCTGTTGTAAGAGGCTACGAATACAAAATTCCTGGGGAAGAAATGTTACAGATCACAGCTGTTTTGCCTTTTCAGAGAATTATTAGGTTGTGCCCAGTGACTCAGGAATGTCGCTTATCCTCTTTATACCCGAGCTGTAGGGTGATGCTGTGCCTGCCGGCCCTTCTGGCTCCCCCTGGCCTGGGCATGTCCTGGACTCAGCTGCTGATGCCTGACCCCGTACCATAGACATTTCCCCTTAGGTCCATTTATCCTGTGCATCAGTTGGGTGACATACAACTATTTTTTTTTAACCACTTGATTTTTACAATTTTTTAAAATATCATATAGTTAATCTGATGCTGGAGGAGGGGTGTGCAAGTCTTAGGATGTTAACACACGTTTAAATCAGGATTCAGAATAGTCCCATCCCCTGCCCCCCAGCTCCCTTGTCTCATTCCTTTATAGTCACACACACCTTCCGCCCCCTACCTCCTTGCAACCGCTAAGTTCTTCTGTCTTCTCAGAAATGTCCTATAAATAGAATGATACAATATTCAGCCTTTTGAGACTGGCTTCTTTCACTCAGCATATTACTTTCGAGATTCATACACGTGTGTTTCGCTCCTTTTTATTGCTGAGTGGGATTCTGCTACATGGATGCGTGTTTGTCCACTTACCCCCTGAAGGACATTTGGGTTGTTTCTAGTGTTTGGTGATCATGAATAAAGCTGCTATAAACATTCACTTACAGGCTTTTGTTCGATCTCGAGTTTTCATTTCTTTTTTTTTTTTTTAAGATTTACTTATTTATTTGAGAGAGAGAGAGCAAGAGCAGGGAGGGAGAGGGAGAGAGAATCTGAAACAGAGTCCCCGCCAAGTGCAGAGTCTGACACGGGGCTCAATCCCACAACCCTGAGATCATGACCTGAGCCAAAACCCAAGAGTCAGAGGCTGAGCCAACTGAGCCACCCAGGCGCCGCAAGTTTTCATTTATTTTGGATGAATACCCATGAGTGTGTAACTGCATGTGTAATTTTATGAGAAACTGCTGAGCGGTTTCCTGAAGCGGCCGCACAGGATAGCAGTCCCTCCAGCAAAGGCTGGGAGGTCCAGGTGCCCCACCAGCACTTGGAAGTGTCGGTATTTGACAGGGTCAGCGCTAGAACTGTAGCCGTTCTAGGAGATGCAGAGTGGCACGTCATGGTGACCTTGATTAAAGGTTGAGGGAGCCCACCGAGAACGGCCTTTAGATGGAAGGAACAGGAGAGGCCCGAGAAGACGTCCCTTCCCCATGGAGTCAGCTGCATCTTTCTCCTCCCTGAGTATTTGCCCTTCACAGGTTCCAGCACCCCTTGAGCTGATTGTCCCTGTCTTGTCACCCACCAGGCAGGTGGGGAGTTGTGATGGTGACGTTTATGTGTCAATGGGGCTGTCCAGACGTTCGATCCAGCATTCTTCCAGGTTGTGTCTCTGAGGGTGTTTCTGAATGAGATTAACGTTTGAATCAGTAGACTGAATAAAACAGATCACCTTCCCCAGGGTGGGTGGGCCTCATCCAATCAGTTGAGGGCCCCAGTAGAATAAAAGGGAACCTTACCCCTAATAAGAGGGATTTCCTCTTAACTAGATGGCCTTGGAGTCTAGGGCGTTGGCTTTTTCCTGCCTTAGGACTGCATTGAACCATCAGCTCTCCTGGGTCTCTAGCCAGGTTCAGCCCACTCACCCTGCAGATCTGGAGACTTGTCAGCCTCTATGATTATGTAAGCCAGTTCCTTAGAATGAATCCCTGCTCTCTCCACATAAGTACACGTACCTCCTCTTGGTTCTGTTTCTCTGGAGACCCCTGACTGATACAGTCAGAAGGAAAGTATACCCTTGTTTAGACATCACAAGCCTGTCCCATTGGTGTATACTTACTTCGCCATGAAGAGGTGTTTTAATTTTTTTTTATTAACATAATGTATTTTTTGTTTCAGGGGTACAGGTCTGTGATTCATCAGTCTTACACAATTCACAGTGCTCACCATAGCACATACCCTCCCCAGTGTCCATCACCCAGCCCCCCAATCCCTTCCACCCCCTCCCCCCTAGCAACCCTCAGTTTGTTTCCTGAGATTAAGAGTCTCTTATAGTTTTTCTCCCCCTCCAGTTTCGTCTTGTTTCATTTTTCCCTCCCTACCCCTATGATCCTCTGTCTTGTTTCTCAAATTCCTCATATCAGTGAGATCGTATGATTATTGTCTTTCTCTGATTGACTTATTTCGCTTAGCATAATACCCTCTAGTTCCATCCACGTCGTTGCAAATGGCAAGATTTCATTTTTTTTTTGATGGCTGCATAATATTCCATAATAGCCAAACTATGGGAAGAACCTAGATGTCCATCAACAGATGCATGGATAAAGAAGATGTGGTATATGTATACAGAGGTGTTTTAATTTTTAATAGACAATTGAAAATATTGGGTCTGCTTGGGAGAGATAGTCATCTTCGTCTTGGAAGAAATCATTTTTCTAAGTTCTGTTAGCTTTAAGGGAAGATTAGCCATCAGTGACACATTCCATCTCTTCTTTTTTTTCTTAAGAATGCTGAGGCAGGGACGCCTGCGTGGCTCAGTGGGTTAAGCGTCTGTCTTTGGCTCAGGTCATGATCCCAGGGTCCTGGGATCGAGTCCCACATAGGGCTCCCTGTTCAGCAGGGAGCTTGCTTCTCTCTCTGCCTGCCGCTCCCCCTCGTGCTCTCTCTCTCTCTGATAAATAAATAAATAAATCTTTTTTTTAAGAAAAGAATGCTGAGGCATAGTGGTGGTTCAGGAGAGAATCAAATGTATGAATTTGTGAGAAAATAACCCTATGATGGTATAGTGGCCACTTGTCTGAATCCCTGGGTTCAGTAATCTTTCAGTGGATATACTTGTCTGATTTATTGCTTTGGGATGAACTCCCTGGCAAGTAGAGCTTCCTTCAGGCTTTCTGATGAAACGTGTTCCCCTCCTCGAAAATTTGTGCCTGACTCCCACTTATATGTGTGAGCTGTCACTGACAGACTCCAGGCCCATCCATACAGCTGAGGTGAAGACACCCCAAGCCACCACTCTCTTCCCTTTTTCACCAACTGCCTCCCATGACCTGGGCGGGCTACGGAAATGGCCTCTTTTCTGTCCTTTGAAGAAACTACCTGGTGTCTGTGTCAAAGGCACAGTTGTCAAATCCTAGTCTAGGATCTGCCCTTTAAGAATTTTGTAAGCCTTGCAAGTAGCTTTAAAGAATGAAGTCCCCCACCCCACAAACCTGTTCTACTGGGAAAGAATCGTTTGTTTCGCAGCCGACCTGCTGTTGCAGCTCAGCACAGCATGCACACAGAGGAGGCGTACGTGATGTCTGATCACGATTTCATGCCTTCCCTGTCCCACTGTTCCCTCGTGAAGCCATGCCAATCCGGCTTCTGACTCTGCTGTCGCTCACCTGCGCATTGTCCCATGGGCAAGCCACGACAAAACTTTGAGGTCAGTACTTGACTCATTTCGTAACCTGTTACCTCATAGAAAGCGAAACTAAGCTCTCAGAACTTAAAGTCAGTGCTAATCAGCTTCTAGAATTCCATTCTTAAACTTGCTGCTTAGAAATAACTACGTATTTTAGGCTATAGATAGTGGTGCATTTTTCTCTCTAGCTCTCCTCTGTCCAGACATGGTTCAAGCCCAACGGCCTCAGAGGTCAGAGAGGTGATGTAAGTGAGCAGGTGTGGTCTCCATGAAGCCTCAGGGTTGGGGAGGCATCGGGGAGCAGTGGGGACTGTGGCTCAGCCGGAATCCCGATGCCCCACATCAGACCAATCAGTTGATTGCTGCCATGTGCAATTTTAGATCTAGTGTTGCCAAGTCTTGTAATTTTTTCCAAGAAAAGTGTGTAATCTAGGCTTTCAACATTGGCAGTTCATAGTATACATAAACAGAAAAAATAAAACCTATCTGAAGGCCATACCTGCAGAGGCCTGAGACTCCAGTCTGTTTTATTATAGCAGTTAAATATTAGTTGTGGGAGAAGCAGTGTGTGATAAATACGGTTGCAGACAGCCCAGAAGGGCAAGACGCACACTTAGCATGGAAAGTGATTTTTTTTAATGTATAGTGTGGTTTAACACAGTGGTTCTCAAACTTCAGCATGCATCAGAATCTCCTGGAAGGCTTATGAAAGTGTACATTACTTGGCTGTACTTCCGGAGTTTCTGATTCGGTGGGTCTGAGTGGCACCCAAGAATTGGCATTTTAAACAAATTCCCAGATGCTGCTGCTGATGGTGATCTGGTGATCGTCTTCTGAGAAGCTGTTATGGTTGACTTGTGGCCCTCCGGGCAAGATATGTTGAAATCCTAACTCCCAATACCTCAAAATGTGACCTTATTTGGAAACAGGATCTGTGCAGATGGATTTCGTTAAGATGAGGTCATTTTGGAGTGAGGCGGGCCCCTAATCCGCTCTGGCTGGTGCCATCATAAGGAGGAGGCCATGTGAAGATGGGGGATTGGAATGATGTGTCTATAAGCTACAAGGAGAGAGGCATGGTGCAGCTTCTCCTTCAGAGCCCTCGGGAGGAACCAAGACCAGCAGCACCTTGATTGTGGACTTCAGCACCTCTGTGAGGCAGTCGGTGTTTGTTGTTTTAAACCGCTCGATATGTGTACTTTGTTAAGGCAGCCCTAGCAAACTAATACGCAAGTGCTAGTTGAATAGAACACTGTACTTCCTAGACTGGGAGCCCACTCACATGCTAGTCTAAAGTTCTGTAAGCAAGTCAAAACTGGAACAAAATACCTGATCACGGCGGCTCCGCCAGGCAACTAAGCCACAATGTGATGCGTAAATCTTACTCCCTGCTGAAGGCCTGGGCAGAAGAGGTGGCAAGGTCTTAACTGAAGGCAGGAGCGGACATCACCCCATCCCCACCTGCTTTGGGATGGTCATCCCTGTAGCTTTGAATCACCTATCTGAAAGTTATCATGTGAAGATTTATAAAGTAAAAATGCTCTCATTGCCATGTAAGTAGTGACACGGTGGGATGTGACAGGGAAATCAAACCTGTTTGGGTTTTCCACTCTTACATTTTTCTCCTTATTTGTTCTGCTTGGAACTTAGAGCAGATCTTGAAATCAGAGTAGCCCTTTTCTTAGCCAGCTTGCGCACTCACTTGCTCTCTCTTTTTGTGATCGGAAATTCAATTTAATTAGTATACTGTGGTTGTAGCCAAGTGCAGGGCATGGAATGAATAAGGCATTCTGTTAATATTTTTCAATTTAGAGATGTAAGTTTTATTTGTTTATTTTTTATTGTGGTAAAAAACACATGAAATTGACCCATCTGAACCACTTTTCGGTGTACAGTACTGTTGTTTGCCCACTGTTGTACAGTAGATCTCCAGAACCTTTTCATCTTTCAAAACTGAAAGTCTATACCTTTGGAATAGCAACTCCCCTTATGAGCTTACTTTTTGACTCTGGCCAGGTTAATAATTGCTGGGATTCAGTTTGCTCATTGCAAACAACCACTGAGTTATACTCAAACATTAGCGCAATCTTAGGTCACTTTAGTCAGGATCCTTGTTAGAAGTTGGCTCCCTCTCTCTTTCATCGCCAAGCGGAGATGAGCTTTTTCATCATATATCAGCACGGTGTCTGTGGATGAATTCATGCCATACTGATGTTAGAGGGTCTGGAATCACAAGAGCTTTTCAAGGAGAAAATGCAGTGATTGGAGTGATGGTCTCAAGCTACCTTAAAAGGGGCAAAGTTGTGTGAAGCAGAATGCAGTTGTAGGGACATGTGTGATGCTGGTTAAGTGAGGTGTCTCTGATGCTGGGGGGCCTGCCAGCCCCCCCCGACCTGTACCCCCACCCCTGCTCTTGGCTCCGCTCCTCTTCGGGTCCTCACAAGACACAAAAGCACACTCAGATTTCTTCAGTGCTTTTTTTTTTTTTCTTTTCCCTTTTCCCCCCGGCTACCTTTGTTCCCTCTTCTCTGAGCTCACGCCAGCTCTTTTGACTTTTTGAACTTTTGGTTTTATTCAGAGAGGTAATTTCGAAAACTGTGCTGGGTTGCACTTTCGGCACCTTGCTCCTCAGATATCTGCTGTTAGGCAAGAGCAGAGAACCAAAGTGCATTTGGCGGCAGCCCTACTTTTCACAACAGAACAAAATTACATAAAATAGGTTCTCTTCCATTCCGGCGCTCTCTCCAGAAACAAAACCCTGTACCTACATCTCCCCCCACACTCTCACTTCTTGCCAGCGCTGTTGAAAAGTGTTCCCTCAGTGTTTATTCAGTGGGCATTTTCGCTCACGTAAGTGGGGTATTTGGTTGCTGAAAGATCTTAGAAAATTTGGGAAAATGGAAATTATAAAAACTACATGTGGCATCAGAGCTCAAAGATGTGTTGTTGTTTTTTTTTATCACATATTCGTTATCTGAGTATCTGGCTTGGTGTTCTCTGTGCTGTATACGTGAGTTAATCGGTATTTGCAATCTTTGCTTACCTCCAAGAAAGATCTGTGGCCGCTGAGGTCTGGTAGATGGGTAGCAGCGCGGCCTGCCAGCCAGCCTTACGAACGTCCGTAGCCCCACGGACAGGCTGGCTGTTCGTGGACCCCTCCCCAGGGACCACAGACTGCTTTATGACACTCTGGGGTAATCCACATCCCCGGGAACGGTTCGCCCTTCCTCTTGGAAGCCATGGCATGAAATCCTATTATTCTTCCTGCCTTGGTCACTAACTCCCCTAACCAACACTTCGAGAGGATGTAACAGAGGGGAATTCTGTGGGATTGTGGCTTAACTGGCCCCTCAGACATTCTTATCTCCTCTTTTGTCCTGTTGCGTCTTCCTGCGGGCCCGGTTTCTTCTCTGTGTGGCTTGGGCCATCCCAGGGCGAGTCACAGGCTCCCTGTCCTGCTTGGCTTCCTCTCTACATCCAGGGCCCAGGTCCCTCCCAGGCCAAGGGCTGCCATGTTGGTGCTCCAGGCTCAGCCCAAACCTTGCACCTGGCTTTCCTCCATGCTAGTCGTATGGCACCCACGTCTAGGCACACTGTGCTCAGAATTCTGGGATGGTGGACGGGTTCAGCTTGGAGACAGTAGCCTCGGGAGACTCAGCCCCAAAAAGGAGAGCACCCTGACTCCAGGACCTGGGTGGCATTCCCTTCTTAGGCCAGTGTCTACGGCAGGTCAGTAGCAACCACTCCCGATCATCCTTGAGCCTCTTAGAGCCTCCTTTCTGCCTCATGTCATTGCAAAATGTTGCTTAAAAACAAAGGGAAATACTTCTAAAACAACCTGGTATTTGCTTTTTTTCTCCTAATTTATATTTATAAGTAACCGAATATTACCTGACCTTCTCATGTTTAGTGGCTCCTTTTCTTTCCATGAGTGGGATTTGTTTTTAATGCAACCAGAGTCACTGTAAGTGCAGATGAGGGGCCGCAGGGCTCCGGGGGCGTGGTCGTCGGTATTTGCACGTGCCATCCTCAGATGCCAGTTTCATCTCCCGTCTGTGAACCAACGCAGTTCCCACGCGTGGCCGCCGTGTGACCCGAATGCTGCTGTGTGGACAAAGTTAGATGTGAGACATGGGCTTCCGGACCTGGACTTCCCTTGGTGATAGAGGTGTCCGTGGCTTTTCTCGCCCAATATTCAGATGGGGAAATTCAAGTCGAACTGATTGTTTCAGAAACATAGGGTAGAACGTTCACTTCTTCTAAGGTCCTTCCAGTTTGGTGTGGATCTTCGCCAGCTGTCTGGAGAAAGAGGATGTAGGTGAAGGACGAGAGAGGCTTTTCTTAGAGAAGAGAGGGAAGCTGCGCTTCACTTGACTCTTTGGGTCAGCCGCTGTGGGGCCCCTGCCTGGCCTTACCTTATTCAATCCTTGGATGCAGCCCCAGATTATCGTCACCAGCCTGCAGATTCAGGAAGCTGGGTCGGTTCTGTCCAGATCCAAGAGTGGGGGATTCTGATTCACAGACAATTGCTTTTCGGGGAGGAAATTTTTTTGTCTGAGTCCTAAAATTCTGCCAAGCCCGTGTAGGACTTAGCCTACAAGGCCCACTGCCCATCCTTTAAATGCTGTCATCTTTGGAGGTGGTGGGGGAGGTGAAGGACATAGAGAAGATCCCCTCAGACCACTGAGGGCTCTCCAAGCCTGCCCCACTCACTCTCCTCCTCATCTAGAGCTAGGCCAGTCACCTTGACCATTCCCCCCAGGGCAGTGATTTTCAACTTTCAGTGGATCTAGAGCTGTATTTGTGCCTCTCAGTTTCCAACCAGACGTTGTAGCTTTTGGCCACCAACTTGGACTTGGAGGACATTTCTGTTTCTCCAGCGCTGCTTCTCCAGCAGCCGTGTTGTTCTTGCCCCTCATTTCTTAGCATTTCCACGATGCTGGGAAAAGGCAGAACATGTTCTA